CATACTATACGTAGTATGTTTCCCTGTTTCTGCCAAGAAAAATATATGGACATACTATACGTAGTATGTTTCCCTGTTTCTGCCAAGAAAAATATATGGACATACTATACGTAGTATGTTTCCCTGTTTCTGCCAAGAAAAATATATGGACATACTATACGTAGTATGTTTCCCTGTTTCTGCCAAGAAAAATATATGGGCATACTATACGTAGTATGTTTCCCTGTTTCTGCCAAGAAAAATATATGGACATACTATTATGACATATAATTATGTCCATATATTTTTCTTGGCAGAAACAGGGAAACAGTTTGCCACTTCCTTTTTCTGGGGCCACTTCCCAGCCTACAGCCTTGGTATTTCCTAATGGTTCCTATCCAATAACTAAGCCAGTCCAATTGTGTTTCATCAGATAATACATGCTAGGTGCTGCCAACAATATCTGGGCAAAGCACCTATATGTAAGGGTGTATACATACGTTTTATATATAGTATATTTTAAATGTGTGTTATGTATGTGTACACTTGGAGAGGAAGCAACTAAATTTCATTTTTAATGTGTGCCGTTGTGCCCACAGGAAAATATGACAATAAAGGTTATCTCATCTCATCTCATCTTAGTAGTCCTCAATTTAACCACACTTTGTTCAGTGACCATCTGACTTTACAGTGGCACTGAAAAAAGTGACTTTATGATCGTTTTTCCACACTTACGACCGTTGCAGCCTCCCTTTGGATCAAAATTTGGATGCTTGGCAAACACAACGGTCGTATTGTCCCAATGATCATGGGATCACTTTCTGAGACCTTCTGACAAGCATTGTCAAATGGGGAAGCCAGATTCACTTAACAACCGTGTTACTAACTGAGCAAGTGCAGCGATTCACTTAACAACCGTGGCGAGAGAGGTCGTAAAATGAGGCAAAAAATCGCTGAATAAACGTCTCGCTTGGCAACGGGGATTTTGGGCTCGACTGTGGTCGTAAGTCGAGGTCTACCTGTGCCTTAAATCAGTGTTTTTCAACCTTGGAAACGTTAAGATGGGTGGACTTCAACTCCCAGAATTCCCGAGCCAGCTGGGAGTTGAAGTCCACCCATCTTAAAGTTTCCAAGGTTGAAAAACACTGCCTTAAATCACAAGGGACAACAGCAGCCAATTCAGAGACATATTTACAGATGTTCGCTTCAGATCACAAATCACCTTTAAAAACCCACACAGAGGTTTCTGACTTTAGGTGGGCTATTATTAAACCCCAGGAAGCCCTCACCGTCCGGTATTATATTTTCAAAGGATATAAAATCGATATACCTTGATCAGGTATTTTTCCCACCGGTCTGCCGTGACAGATTTTCCAACCTTCCTCATCAGTTTCAGATGAAGTTCAACCAATTCTCTTGGAACTAGAAAGAAAAAGAAGGAAAAGTTGGTTTGTTTGTTTGCTTGTTTCTTTAAAGAAATGAAACAAAGAAGGCCCAAGAAGTAAACGGAAGCATACATTAAATGCAAGGTAGGTTTCTGTTTTGCCCTTGAACATACATTTTATTTCTATCATATTTTTCTACTTTTAAAATTCCGTAAGGCAAGCATATAATATCAAGAATAACATCTCTACATTCAACCAATTTCATAAGGAACCAGATTTATTAAGAGCTGATAATATTAATAGCGCACCTTATATAATCTTTCCAGGTAATTAAAATGAGACTCATCCTTCTTTGAAGCTAATATTCTAATTTTATTAGTAACTTTTCTACGAACAGTAACTATCCATATGTAATCACACCAATCGTTCAATAACAAATTATATAAGAATTTCCACTTTTGAGCAATTACTGATTTAGCAGCCAGGAGTATAAATTCAGTACAGCATGGTATTTTTTGTTTACCGACAGTTCTCGACTTCAGACCTATCGCCTAACAGCCGTTCAAAATTACAAAAGACTCAAAACAAGTTACTTATGGCTTGTCCTTGAAATTACGACTACTTCACCACCTCCATGGTCATATGGAGGCATTTTGAGCAATTGGCATCCTGCCTTTATTTACAATTGATTGCAGTGTTCCTGTGGTCACATTTTGTGGTTTTTATTGCTGTTTTCCAGCAAAAAAATACCCATTGGATAAGCTGGATTTGGACTCAACTGATTTGCTTAACGATCATGAGGTCCACTTAACAACTGCAGTAACTCAGTTAACGACCATCATAAAATCGAGTCTGGTCACCTGCACAGGTACAGTATAGATCAGGGGTAGGCAACCTTGGCTCTTTTATGACTTGTGGACTTCAACTCCCAGAATTCCTGAGCCAGCCATGCTGAGGGGAAAGGGAGAGGTTTCCAAGCTGAGCCATGGTGGCTCAGGAATTCTGGGAGTTGAAGTCCGCGAGTCATGAAGGGGCCATAGATCCCCCATGCTGGCTCAGGAATTCTGGGAGTTCAAGTCCACAAGTCATGAAGGAGCCATAGTTCCCCCATGCTGGCTCAGGAATTCTGGGAGCTGAAGTCCACGAGTCATAAAAGAGCCAAGGTTGCCTACCCCTGGTATAGATGGTACCTTACTCAGTAGCAGTAACTGCAAGAGGGATCTTGGAGTCCTAGTGGACAATCACTTAAATATGAGCCAGCCATGTACTGCAGCTTCCACAAAAGCCAAGACAGCGCTAGGCTGCATTAACAGAGGGATAGAATCAAGATCACGTGAAGTGTTAATACCACTTTACAATGCCTTGGTAAGGCCACACTTGGAATACTGCATCCAATTTTTGGTCACCACGATGTAAAAAAGATGTTGAGACTCTAGAGTGCAGAGAAGAGCAACAGAGATGATTAGGAGACATTGGAGGCTAAAGCATATAAGGAACGGTTGCTGGAATTGGGTATGTCCAGTTTAATGAAGAGAAGGACGAGGGTTGACATGATAGCAGTGTTCCAGTATCTCAGGGGTTACCCCAAAGAAGAGGGAGTCAAGCTATTCTCCAAAGCACCTGAAGGCAGGAGACGAAGCAACAGACGGAAACTAATCAAGGAGAGAAGCAACCTAGAACTAAAGAGAAATTTTCTGACAGTTAGAACAATTAACCAGTGGAACTACCTGCCTCCAGAAGTTGTGAATGCTCCAACACTGGAAGTTTTTAAGAAGAGATTGGACAAGCATTTGTCTGAAATGGTAATCTGTGTAATACTCTCCAGTTCTCTGTATTTTGTCTATTTCGCAACTAATATAAATGCATATTAAATATTTATTTATAACAAGCAACCTTTTTATAAGTGTGCAATAGTGGCGAATATCTGTAGCTTGGCTATAAGATGAGAATGAAGGTATGTTCTCTTTTTATAAGTCTTAAAAGCCAATGAGCATTCATCCCATCTTCTCATAAAGGGATATCAGTTTTTTTTAAACATCCAAGGTTGTTCTCTTCATGAAAAATTCTATAGGTTTGTTAAGACTTTATTCATCTCTTGAAACTCTGAAATAATCTACCTTCTTTGTGGTTGAAACAGAATTCAATTAAAAAGGGAAGGCGCCATTCACAACACATTCTTCTTTTTAATAATGCTTCTGACAGAGGTTGGAAGGCTTTTTTCTTCTTTGTAACGTGACAGGATAATAACTTGGGGAAAAAAATATTAACACTTGAACTCCATCTCAATTTCTTTCTTTTAGTTCTCAAGCTACGTGCAGAATTCTTTCACCTGAGCATTTTGCAAATTATTACATCAATCAAGGAGAGAAGCAACTTGGAATTAAGGAGAAGCTTCCTAACAGCGAGAACAAAACCAGGGGAACTACTTGCCTCCAGAAGTTGTGGGTGCTTCATCACTGGAGGTTTTCAGAAAAGACTGTCTGAAATGGTATAGGGTCTCCTGCTTGAGCAGGGGGCTGGACTAGAAGACCTCAAATGTCCCTTCCAGCTCTGACTATATTAGAATATATTTTGCATTTGAAACTTCGGAGTAAAGACTTTATGAGCATATCCCATATCTTTGTCTGAAAGCTTTTAAATCAGAGGTGTCCAACCTTGGCAACTTGAACACTTATGGACTTTAACTCCCAGAATTCCCCAGCCACCCATGCTGGCTGGGGAATTCTGGGAATTGAAGTCCACAACTCTTCAGGTTGCCAAGGTTCGACACCCCTGCTTTAAATCATTTTAGGCTTTAAAATATGATATCCAACCAATTATTTTCTAACCTTTGCTAATACTGATTTTTAAATTATTTGTATTTAAGGATGGTAATATCCTTTTCAAGGTTTCCAGTATCAAGCACATGGTTTACATCAGGAAGTCTTCAAACTTGGCCCTTTTATGACTTGCGGACTTCAACTCCCAGAATTCCTCAGCCAGCGTGAAGTCCACAAGAGGTAAAGTCCACAAGTCATAAAAAAGGGCCATGTTTGAATACCCCTGACATAATGTGAGGGGAAAATAATGCTAGAAAGAGCTAAACTGGTGTTTCTCAATCTCGGCCATTTTAAGAGGTGCGGACTTCAACTCCCAGAATTCCTCAGCCAGTGTGCCTGTCTGAAGAATTCTGGGAGTTGAAGTCCACAAGTCATAAAAGGGCCAAGTTTGAAGACCCCTGGTTTACCTCAACCTCATGTGCCTTGCTAGCAGTCTGAGTGACCTCTGAAAACGGAGACGGCAATCCTGTTGGCTGTTTATTAACTTGTCCAAGCAGACTTGGCAACTCATTTCAAATCAACTTCGCTGATTTATCCCATCCCGCCTTCAGTTCTCGTTGGAGTGGTTTAATTAGATTTCCTATCGAGTCAACCTCAAAGCTTTTTTCCTGTGCTGTTATGATGGGCAGCCATCTCTTCTCCATGATTAGGAGCCTGAGTCGCACGACCCTTCCCTGAATTTTCCATGGAAACCTTAATTTCTCTGAGGGAACTTATCTTTTTTTATACATTTCTAAATGGTGAAAGTCGCCAATTACAGGGAGTCCTCGGCTTATGATCACAACTGAGCCCCAAATTTTGATCACGTGACCGTGGGGAATGCGGCAACGGTCGTAAGTGTGAAAAATGGTCATAGGTGACTTTTTCCAGTGCCGTTGAGATTTCAAATGGTGATCCTGCGACCCCCGGGACACTGCGACTGTCATAAATATGAACCAGTTGTCAAGTATCCGAATTTTGATCACGTGACCACGGAGAGGCTGTGACGGTCGTTGAGCATGAAAAGGGGCCATAAGTCACTTTTTTCAGGGCTGTTGTAACTTTGAACGGAAGTTACACTAAGTGAATGGCTGTTAAGTCGAGGACTACAGATATCCTCGCCTCACAAAAATCGGATGGGAGATGGGAAGGGAGACACTGACCCATTGCAATAATAATAATAATAATAATAATAATAATAATAATAATAATAATAATAATAATAATAATAATAATAATAATAATAATAATAATAATTATTATTATTATTATTATTATTATTATTATTATTATTATTATTATTATTATTATTATTAAAAAAAAATTGGGAAGGACCTTAGAGGTCTTCTAGTCCAACCCCCTGCTCAGGCAGGAAACCCTATAGTGACAAGTGGCCATCCAGTCTCATCTTAAAAACTTCCAGTGTTGGAGCATCCACCACTTCTGGAGGCAGGTTGTTCCACTGGTTAATTGTTCTAACTGTCAGGAAATTTCTCCTTAGTTCTAGGTTGCTTCTCTCCTTGATTAGTTTCCATCCATTCTTGTTTTGTCTTCAGGTGCTTTGTGACAGCCCCTCAAATATTGGAAGATTGCTATCATGTCCCCTCTAGTTCTTATCATCATCATCATCATCATCATCATCATCATCATCATCATCATCATCATCATAATATAAAGTTGGAAGGGACCTTAGAGGTAATAATAATGATGATGATGATGATGATGATGATGATGATGAAAGGGACCTTGGAGGTCATCTAGTCCAGCCCCTTGCTCAGGCAGGAAACCCTGGCTTATACCATTTCAGACAAATGGCTGTCCAATCTCTTCTTAAAAATGTCCAGTGTTGGAGCATTCACCGCTTCTGGAGGCAGGGTGTTCCACTGGTTAATTGTTCTAACTGTCAATTGTTCTAACTGTCTTCATTAAACCAGACATACCCAAATACCAAATCTGGTAGAACTTCAGCCCGTTCACCAAATCCGAACTCTTATGGGTGGTTTATTTTCTGCTCAGATGTCCCCAGTTGCAGACTTCAAAAAAATAAAGGTTTTGTGGGGTTGGTTGTTTTTAAAGAGAGAGCCCAAAGTCAGGGATCTATGACCCACAGAAAAAGACATTGCTGAGGGTAATATCTGTACATGAAAAAGGTCTGCCAGTTTATCAGCTCTTGATCTCCTGGGCTAAAACATCAGATTCCATTCTAATGAGAACTTAAT